CATTTGTATATCTTCACTGGAGAAATATCTATACAAGTCCTTTGCCTATATTTGAATTGGGTTATTTGATATTTTTCATTGAGTCTTAGGAGTTCTCTACATATTCTAGATATTAATCCCTTATCAGATATATGATTTGCAAATATTTTCTCCCATTCTATGGATTGTCTTTTTATTCTGTTGATAGTGTATTTTGCTGCACAAATTTTATAAATTTTTATAGAGTGCAATTTGTCTATTTTGTTGTTGTTGTGTATACCTTTGATGTCATAGTCAAGAAATAATTGCCAAATCCAATGTCATGAAGCTTTTCCCTTATGTGTTCTTCTAAGAATTTTATATTTATATTTAGATCCTTGATCCATTTTGAGTTAATTTTTGTATATGTGGTTACTTAAGAGCCCAGCTTCATTCTATTACATGTGGATATCCAGTTTCTCTGGCATCATTTGTTGAAAAGACTGTCCTTTCTTCCACTGAATGGTCTTGTGACTTTCTCAGAGATCATTTGACCATATATGTGAAGGTTTATTTCCAGGTTCTATAGTCTGTTCCATTGGTCTATATAACCTTTTTACTTGTCAGTACTACACTATTTTGATTATTGTAGCTTTGTAGTAAGTTTTAAAATCAGGAGTTCTCCAACTTTGTTCTTCCTTTGAAGATTGTTTTGGCCATTCAGGGTCACTTGAGATTCCTCCTAAATAATTTTTTAAAATTTGCATACTGTAAGGTTCACTTGTGCTATAAGATCTATGGGTTTTGACAAATACATAGTGTCACATATTCACTGTTACAGTATCATATGGAATAGTTTTACCATCCTAACAATCCCGTATGTTTCATTTCTATACATTCCTCCATTCCCAAGTCCCTGGAAACTACCTACATGCTTACTGTCTCTATAGTTTTGCCTTTCCTAGAATGTCATCTAAATGGAATCATGTAGTACATCACTTTTTTAGACTGTATTCTTTCCCTTACAGTATGCATTTCAGGTTTATCCATGTCTTTGCGTGGCTTGATAGCTCATTCCTTTTTAATGCTAAATGGTAAGGAGGATGGTTTTATATTCTGAATTTCACAACAGGTAACTTCATAGGTATCCATTTGATAATGTTTTCTCTCAGGTCCTATAGTCACACAGAGACATTTTTTGCCATATACCTGTGCAGCACTCAATTGTTTCCCTAATGTAATGATCAATTTAACTCTTTCTCCCAAACTTGTATATGCTGCTCAGCAAACAATGCAGGGCTCTTTAGCATTTCAGCCCTCACCCAAATAGCTTTTCAGAAATTACCTGAAAAATACCTATATTGTTTTTCTTTATGGTCCTGGTTACATTCCCTTTTCCCAAAGTCAACATTTCACCTCATTTTATATAATCTTTTAAGGTGTGAACTACATCTTTAGCCCTGTATTCTGCAGCAATGCTGTGCCTGGCCCCTACTGGGTATTCAGTAAATATTCATTGAATGGACAAATAAGTGATTTGGTATAGTGTGATAGCCAGATTGCAGACAAACCAACATAACCTGAAATGCATGCTATATTCCATCCACTTGGGTAATATAACTGTTTGCTATGTACTGTTTCTTTTATTTTTAATATTTGAAGGCTACTTCCAAAAACTGGCCTGAAATCTGAGATACATTCAATTTATGCAGAACACATGGTGTTTATACAAGCATTACCAAATAGTATCATACCAATGAACCTTGCTAATGTATGTCAGAGGTTCCCAACATTAACCCAGAACATCAGCATTACTCCAGACAGCTGAATTATATTGTATGAAAGTTATTTTCTCATAAAATGTTGCATGGCTAGGTATTGGGGGTTGGCTAGCCAGATTAGAATTATCATCTGTATTATTAGTAAAAGGAACTGATGTGGCTATTCATTAAATCATTAGCTTAAATAAACGCTTGACATTGGTATAAAATTTAAATCCTGAGCTTCAAGCAAAATATTCTAGAAGGACCCTCATTTTTACATACTTAAGTATAAAGATAAACATAGTTCAATCTGTGGCTCCCTCTTGCAAAAGCCTGTTTCTTGCATGCTTGCTACCTTCAAACAGAGTACAGCAGCCCCTATATGCCAGGTCCCTAATTTCAATGTGAATAAACTGTTGAAATTTAGGTGGTAGGAAAAAAAGAGAGTTCTTAAATCTCTCCTCCCCTTTCTCCGTGCCCCTTCCCCTTCTTTCCCTACTCTTCTTTTCCTCCTCCTCCTCCTTCTTAAAATGTCTGCCATTGTCTTGGATCATGGAGAAGGTTGTTATCCAGAGAGAGTAATTTCTCCTCAGTTAAATCTCACATGTTTGCAATCATCCTTCGCATACCCAATGGTTTGTATCAGAAATGAGGTCCTAAGGGACTTGTTGACCTTTCAGAGTCAAAAACTCTCCATTTTAAAGATTTATCCCTTGCTGGGAGGATTTTTTGAAAGTATAAAAATGTGTATAAGGAGAATATCACAAAAATATTTTCAGTCTTTGGATGTTTCAAAAGAGGATACTCCATCTTTTCTTATTTGTTGCAAGGTAGGTTCCCATATTTTTAATGGTTGAACTCTTTTTATACCTTGTCCTTTTTCTGAACCCTTCCATTTGTAACTTTTAGGTTGTGGAAATGACCAAGAAGTTGCTACTAGAGGATAGTTGTGTAGCCAGAGGTGGTTGGTGACCATGTTGTTTCTCAGGCATGGCAAATCATTTAATTTGTTTCCCAAATTCCAGTGCCTACTTTGAGAAACAAATGGAAAACAGAAGGTAAAATGGTGAGGGTCTATATAAGAACCTTCTAAAGGTTCGCTTCTCAAAGTAAATGAAGATAAGATTACTTGGCATACAGATATGAACTTTCCAACATTCCAAGTATGCAAAAATTCCATGTATGCAAACTGGTTTCACAATTTCAAAGATTTGGATTACTCGTATGCTGCATTTAGCCAAAATGAAAATCCAAGTCTCTGGTTTTCATTGTACCCCAATAATAATTACACTAATTTCATCCTCATAGCCTGTAAGAGTTAATGTCATACATTGGAACTAATTTATTAGTAGAGAGATAGTTAAGAATAACTGGTTCAATGTTTTTTTTTAACTGATCGTGTTTTCAGGATGAAAACCAACAGGCTACAAATCAGGAGTCACCAAAAAGTTCACTGTGCTCCTCTTGTACCCATACCATTGATTGTTTGGATGTTTCCCTCAGAAGATTTCTACTTTGACAAATTGACACACAATTTCTGCAGAAAATGTTTGTAGCATAAGCTGCTGCTTTGGCTTCCTATGTTGGCAGTAACAGATTGCCTGATTTTGACATTGGCAACCCATATTCTTTTCTTTATTACATATTGAACAAAAAGGTGGCTGCTAAACTGCAAACAATTCATATTTATTTCTGTCTGCACTGATAGATTCTTTCAAGTTTTATAAAGTTGGAAAGTGTGGTATGGCCGTTTCTGCATTTTCAAAACTGATAGCTGGTTTCCCATACTGGGTACATATGTATGAAACCCCATAATGTTCCTGCTACATCATGTGAGTTGCACATTATACAGGTTTAAAAGCCCTTGCATATATTATTTCATATTCCACCTTATAACAGCTCTACAAGATATGGTAGACATCACTCAAATAATTTATAGATGATGATGAAGCTTGGAGAATTTCACTAGGTTTTCCATAGTTACAAGAGTAGAATGTGGTAGAACCTAGATCTGAATCTAGGCTTGCAGGTTTGAGCCTAGGAAACTTTACTGTAATACAAGTTCTGAACATTATTGCTTTTGGTCAAGAGGCCAATATCATCAAAGTATGGAAATGATAATATATTTTGCAGTTTATGCTCTGGTGGTACAAGGTAGCACTTTACACGTCTCATTTTCGTCACTGTGACCTCTTGATAAAAGGAAATCTCATTGTGATTCTTCCCTCTGATTTCTTTAATAATTAATCTCATTTTCCAACAAGAATTTTAAGACCTGACCTAAATATTATAATTAACACATTAATAGGTTATGTTAGCATGATCTACTTTGTTTCCCTTTTCTAGTGTGGATACCCATGAATGTAATTTAGTGTTTTTTCAAAACAGTGAATTTTACTTTTGCAGTTTCTGTAGCTGAGATTACACAATTGTATTAAGCCATCTTCTGAAAGGTCTCTCTCTGGCAAAAGAAGAGCACTACTCACTAAAGTATTCAGTAAGAGATTCTTCCTATCACCTTTTGCCTGGCAGAGCTCAATGCACAACTTCTACTCAGAGTTGATGATTTCATCTAGTCACGAAATGGTTTTGGGATAGGATGGTGATAGAATAACAAAGAAATGTTTAAGGAAAATGCTTTTTATACTGACATCTAGGCTTCCTAAGAATATTCCTTTACCCTATCTCTGTGTTTTGCTCTTCCTCATACACAAATAAGTCCTGATATCTTTTTACTAAATATTAGCCCTTTATAGCTGGCTTGACAGAGCATCTAGTCAAACACGTTTCTCAGAACCTGGGAGAAACCCAAGGAATGGCTTTCTCTCTTCAATGCTTTCGAAGTTTTACAACTATAAGGTGTAGAGCGATACATCATATCCTTTCCTTTTTTGCTTTTAAATTATGGATATGGTAATACAAATTTTATTTTTCTTCTACAAAGACCTATATATTAACTGATTTGAGTATACTTACCTTTTTTGTAACATGTAGAATTAGGAAAACCAGAGAAAAACAGAAAAGTCAATATTCAGAAAGAAAATATTATGTTCATTTTAATTGAGGCACTTACATTGTATCTAATAACATTTGAAAAGTCTTGGAACCTAGTAATATTCTCCAGAAAACTCGAGATATTGAATACAGAATATTTAAGAAATCTATTAAACATTGGCTTTCTATATCTCTATAAAATGAAAATGTGCCAGATATTAATCCATTAAGGATTTGGGAAATTTTTTCTGCACATCTCATCTGACTCTTTCCCTGTCCTCTTAGGTGGCCATGTTTGTGCTGCAGCTGGGCAGTGTCACATTCCTGCTTACAGAGCCTGTGATCAGCGCGATGACAACTGGGGCTGCCACCCATGTCGTGACTTCACAAGTCAAGTATCTCTTGGGAATGAAAATGCCATATATATCTGGGCCACTTGGATTCTTTTATGTGAGTTTTCCATATGAATTTGTTCATATATTTTGGGTGTGTATGCTTCAAAAAAGTAGAATTTGGTTAATTACAATGCTGAGGTTTTTTTTTAAATATTAAGCCAATTTAGGCTAAAATAAAATCTTGTAGGATTTTGAAAATGTGATTTGGGGTGTGAAACTAGCTTAATAAACAACATTTACTAATTTTGGAAACAATTCCTTGTAATGAAACAATTGAATATGGTATAATTTGGGGGCATGATTAGAAAAATATAACTTGAGTTTTTGTGAGCCAATTCTAATGGAAGCCATCTACTGGGATTGTGGCCCAGTTTAACAGCAGAACACTCTGCTGCGTTCTTTCTGTATTGTGAGTCCTGGTGTGGATTAAATCAGAGGACTGGTCAAAATCAGTGGCTGGAGCTTCAGTAAAGGATACTCAGCTGTTAAAAGCCACCTGAACCTGAGAGAGAAACATTTGGCCATTTTGACATATTTTCCTAACAATACTGCATTATTCTTGGTTTCATTTTGAAGTTGACCTCAAATCTGTGACTGCTAAAGCTCCCATCATTTTGGGAGTTTATTAAAAAAGAATTATTTTTTAAAATGAGTTTTAAAAAAAAACCTCATTTTTTTTAATGAGTTTGGTAGCAACCAAACTTGTTTTACCTAATTTTATGCATTGCTGTGTACTAAACTACATTAATGTTTTATAATGACCATATTGCCATCCTTAATTATCTTGAATATTAATGGCTGAAAGTGTCTCAATAGGTGGCTTTGCAACAATTCATTGATAGAACCCCTGTTACTGAAATCGTTTTTGGTGTTTCCCTATCATACATGGCCCCATAAGGATCCTCTTTACCTGTATATTATAAACTACATCACTGATTATTTCACTGGGACACATTTCTAGTAATGAAATTATCAAGTCAAAAGGGTGTGATATTTTTGTCAAATTTCAAACCGAAAAAGTGGAACCAATAAAAATTTAACCCGAACCTAACAATGGGAAACCCGGGTAATAAAAATTTTAAAAAAATGCCAGTTTGACATGTGAAAAATTATACTACTTGTTTCAATGTGTATTTCTCTGATTAGGTGGTAAAATAGTTAATAAAGATAGTAATTGGCAACACAGAGCTGGAAGCTTGTTCTGAATTTTTGTTTCTTAGATAATATCCGGCTCAGTGATTCATTCATTATAAGAAAGCTTAAAACCAAAACAAGAACACTGGAACTGGGCTTGGAAAAAAGCAGGCCAAAGTAGCTGTAAGCTGTCAGGTGACTGGCTGACAGTTAAGTCTTTTAGTGATGCCAGGTCCACAGGACAGAACCAAATCAATGATGGTTTCTGTCTTTACCTTGCTCCTGAGACGAGCTACTCTTCTGAGCACGTGCAGCATAAGGAGATGACTGGCTCAAACTTGGCCTTGTTAGTCATTTCTGCATACACAAATAATCATCTTTCTTTTTACTAGTTGTGTTAAAGAAGCAGGGTATCCTGATGTGGAATGACGTTGGTCTTTCAGCTTGTTTCTCCTGATGCAGGCAATGTGTTAAAGTGGTGTGTGTGTGTGTGTGTGTTTCCATTTTGTTTTCTTGTGAGATAAAAACTGCAGGCTATTTTACCTTCGTTTTATAGGTTAAACATAGTGAGACTTTTGGGGGTCTTTGGTAAGATCTCACAATGAAAAGGAATCAGATTTAGGAATATTTTTATTCTGCTGGCTTTAAATTCAACATTACTCAGTTGATGGAAGTTGTTGCTATGCTTTATGTTGATGGAAAATGAAAAAAAAGTTGCTTTTGCTTTTCAATGTCACAGAGCCCTGCACTGTTAGGCTGTTAGGTAGAAATGGTGTTTTGGCTCTTTGCCAAGGTTTCAAAGTGGATGCTGATATTGCAATGTCAGAAATAATGGTGATCTGAGCAATAGATCAAGGAATAAATCTTGTATCATGCATAGGTTACACTGGGATATTGCAAAGTGTGCTTTGGTGTACTTAGGCTGAGAGAATCTGATGGTGATAATGTAAATCTGAGTTTGTCCCTGGATCATTTAGGTGGCACATGAAGGAGCAAAGCCCAGCTCAGCAATGATCTAGGGCAGAGGGCATCATAGGGGCCATTGCCATCAGGTCAAAGGACCTGGAAAAGAGTGAGTTAACACATTTTTAGGATTTTCACTCTGTATATTTTGTTTTATTTGCATCAATTTATGGGGGTACAAATGTAGTTTTATGACATGCATAGATTGCTTAGTGGTAAACTCAGGGCATTTAGGATAGCCATCACCCAAATATGTATTTACATTGTACCCATTAAATAGTTTCTCATCATCCAACCTTCTCCTGCCACCTCCCTCTTCCAAGTCTCCATTGTCTATCATTCCATGTTCTACATGCATGTATACACTTTATCTAGCTCCACTTACAAGTGAGAACATTCAGTGTTTGTGTTTCTATGTCTGACTTGCTTCACTTAAGATAATGGTCTCTAGTTCCATCCATGTTGTTGCAAAAGACATGATTTCATTATTTTTATGGTCAAATAGTATTCTGTTGTGTGCATAACTGTATTTTCTTTATCCTGTCCTCCATTGATGGACACTAGGGTTGATTCTGTATCTTTGCTATTGTGAATAGTGTTGCAATAAACATATGAGTGCAAGTATCTTTGGATATAGTGATTTCTATTTCTTTGGGTAGATACCTAGTAGTGGGATTGCTGAACCAAATAGTAGTTCTATTTTTAGTTCTTTGAGAAATCTCCATACTGTTTTCCTTAGAGGTTGTAATAATTTACATTCTCACTGCCAGTGTGTGAGAGTTCCCTTTTCTCTGCATCTTTGCCAACATCTGTTATTGTCTTTTTAATAATAGCCATTCTGACTGATGTAAGATGATATCTCATTATGGTTTTAATTTTCATTTCTGTGATATTAATGATGTTGAGCATTTTCTTATATGTCTGTTGCCATTTGTATGTCTTCTTTTGAAAAATGTGTATTCATATCCTTTGTCCACTTTTTAATGAGATTATTTTGTTGTCGAATTGTTTGATTTCCTTGTAAATTCTGGATATTAGTCCCCTGTGAGATGTATAGTTTGCAAATATTTTCTCTACTTTGTAGGTTGTCTGTTTACTCTGTTGATTATTTCTATTGCTATGCTGGCTTTTTAATTTAATTGCTATAATTCCCATTTGCCTATTTTTGTTTTTGTTGCCTGTGCTTTTGAGGTGTTAGTCATGAATTCTTTGCCTAGACAAAAATCTTCAATTCAACTCTTCAATGAAGAGTTTTGAATTTTCCACTGTTTGATTATACTTCCTGCTTCTAAGTTTTCACCATTATTGTATCTTTTTTGAATGCTGCTCAGGTTGATGAGAGATATATTAATAGAACATGCTACTGACATTCCTTGGAACATAAGTTAGTATCTAGAATGTTTAAAACTCTTGCACAATGAGCCAGTCACAACTCCTAACAGTGTCAGGTGGGATACTTATTTTTGTCAAAAGGATTCAGGTTGGGACAACCAAAATGTCCATTAATTAATTCTGGTGGTAGTATTCTTTACTGTCAAATTTGAGAGAAAACACAGCCATCTGCCTTTATTCTGTTCTTAATTTGGGGTCTTCAGGTTAGGGTCTCTTTCTTTTGCCATTATGATGGTTTCTATAGTGCCTTCTTGGGGATGCCTGCTTCTGAGCTATTCAAATAATCTCATTTTCTAATATTAATAGCTACAATCTCCATCCATTTGGTTGCTCTAGGCGTACAAGTGTTCTTGCCACAGTGAAACTTTTTTAGCAAGCAATTTGAATCAGATACAGGTAGCGGTATGTGTTCAGTTCTGTCCTCTTAGATTATAGATCAGACTTCTAGTAAGTTTGAGGGATGGATGTGACTTTTCTATATCTGACATGACGAGCACATGCCACCAACTCCAGCTTAGCTCACTCTTTCTCTTCTAGCTGAAAGTTCTTAACCAGTTTTCTTCTTAACCAGTTTCCAGTTCTTAACCAGTAAGGGATTCTCTCAGAGTGCTAAACACTACGAAGGCTTTCTTCTAATACCTTGAGTGCCCTCCCAGAATTTCTGGGTTCCATATATTCAAAGGGAGCCTCTGGAATACTGCTATGACCCTCCAATATTTCTAAGAATAACATATATAATTAGGCCAAATTTATCCTCATATGTAGCTTTCCTAAATTCGTTCACAGATAACACTTTACTTTTCCATTTGTTCTTCATATTTTATCTCTAAATTCATATATTTCTAATGAAACTATCTTTCTTTTAGTATGTTGCTATTTCTCAGTGAACTTTGATGAATACTTCAATGCATTCTTCTTTAGTTATATATTGGGTAAAAATTAATTTTTTCTCTGAGTTAACTTTTAGCCCTGGTGATTTTGTGAGGACCCATACAGTCAGGTAGACACTGATCGGTATTTTTTTTCCTTGGAAATAGGCAACAGGAAACAGGGGAAAGAACTTTAGAATCACAGAAGCCCATATTCAGATCAGAGTTCTAGCCATGACCTGAGCAAATGACCTAATGTCTTTGACTTCCAGTTGCCTGTTCTGTAATTGATGATAATTATACTTGTTGAAATTCATTCCCAAAATGAAATGCATGAAAACATAGGTGATCATTAAATGGAAGCCATTATCTTTCTTGCTAATAATGAATAGTTCATTACCAGAAATTATAGATTTTTTAAAAAGTGCTACTTCAGTAATAGATACTAATGTTTTCCTCTATATAGGATTCTTAATCAGATAAACAAAACTAAATAGCCGAGCAAAGTTATATCTATTTTTGCAACTTAAAAATAAGGATGACTCAAAAATTTATAAAACTTTAAAAAATAAATGTATCTGCTGTTAATGAGGGTTAGTCATTAGAATTGAAGAAATGCTGTTTTTTATTTTTATTTGATTTAGTTTATTTTTATTTGATTCAGCTCAAATCCTCCTCAACAGTTATAATCCCATTT